TTGCTCTGCCGTTTAAGCTTTGGTGGCTTTAGACAACGAAGGGGGGGGGGCAACAACAATCTGCGGAGCAAACGAATACATCAAGAGTGGCTGCCATGTGTATATGAAGCACCTTGCCGCGAGAACTCATCGTCTTCGTGTGCAACTGGTAAACAAACGTATGAATCTTACCAGCTTTCCTGGTATCTACGAAGAAGGTGTTTGGTTGCTGCGTATGCGCAGTCTTCAGTCCAGTTCCAGAGACGGCGACCTTCGAGGCATCGCCTACGTCCGCTGCTTTGACCATAATACGGAAGGGGGAGCCGGGCACCAACGTGTCCCCCTTCTTCACCGTTATCAAATGCTCGCCGGCTTCGCGCGGAGTAAACGATATACCTGAAACAACAGTTCTGGTCAAGATCAGAACGGTGTGTCAGATGACGTCGCTTACCAAGAAGATTCTTGTCCACTCGTCTGATAGTGCATGGCTCTTCGATGCCAGACGGACTTGTGATCGTAGCGCTGAGTCCTATCACATCTTCCTGGGCCACCTTCAGCGAAACCTCGTTGGTCGATCCGACGGAAATGTTTGCCCTCTTCTTTTTCTCCCCTAAATTTGGAGAATAAAATTAAACTTCACAGTCGAAAAACAAGTCTAAGACTGTGACCACAGTGATGGCTTTGAGAGCTTCTTCTGTAGTGAATATACGTGTGATATACCAATGGCTGTTCATGACGATGAACTTAATTACAATTAAACAAAAATTCCGATCAAACACGCCAGCCTTCAGGAGGCCAAACTTTTCAATTTCTATTTGCCTAATACTGAAATATGCCGTTTTGTTGTAATGGAAAGCAACGTATTAACAGCAATGGAAAGTTATCTAGCTATGGCTCATAAGTACACTCTCCTTACCGAAAACTTTTAGCAAACTCCTGGCTGCCTTGTTCCACGTTTTTTACCATGAAGGTTACTTCGAACCTATTCTACGGATGGAAGCCGTTATATTAGCTTATTGCACCGTTCCCTTGCTGTGGAACCATTTAAACTGTCCACAG